CTTTGGAGGCCTGAAGTTGCAACGTCATACTGGAGGGACCGGCAGGTCTCGGGAACCGTGGAGGTTTGTAGGAGAGAGCAGGTACTCAGTGAGGCTCCTAGTGAGGATGCCCCGTTAGTGTTGCCGTTGGTGAGTCGGGAAAGAGAGGTGTGGTAGGCGAGGGCAGGCGGCTGCCGGGGCCGCAGCGATCATGACGGGGACGAGTGTAAAATGTGCAATGTAAAGAGAGAAAGGGACGGCAGAGTTGCTCTGCCGGGCTGCAGGAGCGCAGTCTTGATGCCGGTAAGGGACCTTATTAGCGGAGTCCCCCGGCAAATGGCTGTAGCGGGCCTAGGAGTCTAGGAGTGCCCGTCGGTCTTGGAGAGCCACCCTGTAGAAGCAGGCGAGCGGGCCGTAACGGCGTGTCGGAAGTGAAGCGAGCGGGGCAGACGATCAGCCGGGCCAAACGGGGCGCTCTGTGCGAGGCTTTTGAGGATTCGGGAATGGTGGGACCTGTGGAAGAATGTGGGGACGCGTTTTGCGTATGCAAGGAGAAGGCATGCGAGGCCGCAGCGCAATTGGGCGTTGACAGGTGCGGTGTGGTTTCAGAGGACGAGAAGGGCAGATTCAAGGATGTCAGTAGCAGGAGGAGGCCTGAAGGGACTGTGGGCGTCGATACTGGGGGAGGCTGGTCGTCGGACTCACAGGGAGGAGGATACAGCAGAGGCAGAGCACCGGGGTATTGTAGGCGCAGCGTGTAATGGAGCAGGTGTAGACCTGGGGCGGGCCGGTTGCCCGAGTTGGAGGACAGCGAGTAGGGGAACAGGGGATGTAGCAGTTTGGATCTCGTGATTGTTAGGGAGCGGCTGTATGAGCTCAGCAGTTACGAGTGCACGGGGCACTTTCCTGAGAAGGGAAGGAGCTCGGGGACCTGAGGGCAGGTGCCCCCGGGAAGGGCTGGGGAGGCTAGGGAGGTAGCCTTCCCATTGCTGAAGGGAAGGTAGCTGATGGTATCACGGTGGGCAAAAAGGGCAGGAGGGGAAAGGTGGGCACCCGTAGAGAGGTCCGTAACGTCAGGTTTGTGAGAAATGATGGCCGAGGTCACAGTGGTTGCTGTCGACA